TTTCTAAGTAGCATGGCATCTTGATGAAATCTCCAATCCCATTGTCCTGCCAGGAAGTGAGTCATCTCTTTATCCAGCATATCCATACTATATTATAGGCTACCCCACCTGTTAGTGACTGACAGGCCTAAGGTCAACTGTCCCAGTGCTTGTGTTCAAAGAACTATTTTACTCAACGGGCCGGAAGTTCAAGAGTGGTAACATCAGACACTTTATTAGAATATATTGTATAACTGGTCTACCTTATTACATTTATTATTAACCTCTTACTGTAATTAACTTGTAAGTTAAATTTTCTCATAGGGATGCATGCATAGGGAAGAGCACAACATATACGGGTTCATTATATCTGCTTTGTCTTGGAATATATCGCCTGTGGGTAGAGGAAGAGGGAGTACTGTGTATATCCAGTTACCATTTTGACAGCTGCGTATCTAATCAATGTTAAATTGATCAGGAACAAAATTCCTTATCATCCTCCCAATTTTATTCTTCTCACATCCTAACTCGTGCAGCTATACCAAACCTTGGAAGTTATCCTTGAGCATCTCTCTCTCAATCCACAGCAAATCACCCTCAGCAATACCTTCAAATGTATCCAGAATCTTGGGCTAAAGAGATGGCTTAGTGCCTAAACGCACTTGCTCCTTTTGCAAAAGAACCAAGTTCAGTTCCCAAGACTCACACTGGGAGACTCAGAACTGCCTATAACTCCAGCTCCAGTGGATCCAACACCCTCTTCTGGCTTCTGTGGGCACCCACATGTACACCACATGTACATACACATACATACAGACAGATGTTTACTTAAAAATAAATCCTTTAACAAATGTATATATACTTCTACCTCCAGAATCTGACTTCTACCTTCATAGTTATATCCATGCTCTAAGCAGCAGCAGCAGCAGGCATTGTCTCACTTCCACTCTATAGTCTCAATAGAGCACCCAAGCAGTCCTGTTACAATTTACATCAACTGGGCTGGGTATTGTAGCTCATGCCTTTAGTCTCAGTGGCAGAGGCAGGTGGATCTCTGCTAGAGCTAGAGACATGGCTTAGTGGTTAAAGGCACCTTGAAGAGGACCAGAGTTCAGTTTCTAGTACTCGTGCTTAGGGGGTTCACAAATACCTGTAACTCTAACTCCAGAGGGATCCAATACCTTTGGCCTCTGTGTGCACCTGTATTCATGTGCACATACACAAACATATGCTTTTTTTTGGGGGGGGGGGTGACAAGCGTTTCACCGTGTAGCTTTGTCTCTCTGGCCTTGAACTCACAGAGACCTGCTACTTAAGGTGTGGCTGGCTCCATATACATAATTAAAAAAAAACAAACTTCAATTGTTTCCTATCATAATCCAATCAAATGCTAAAGTCCTTACACTGGCCTGCAAGTTTCTCCAGATCTCCCACATCACTGATACAGACTTCTGCTTCAAGTCTCTGCACTTGTTTTTCCTTCTTCCTAGAATGTTCTCACCACCGATTGCTCCAAAGCTCATTTTCTTTTACTGTCAGGTTTCTGCTCAAATAGCACTTTTCCACTTACTATCTGGTAGAAAACTATGACCTTGTCTATTTCTTCTTGCTTTATTTTCTTTCCACCAAAGCTGTTATCAACTTCCCAAAATTTTTACCATGATTTTGATAGTTATTGGCTTCTATGTAATTAAGTTCAGGAGTACAATTTTAGCCTAACTGTTCACACTGTTGTATCCCAAAATTTATGGTACAATAACACTTTTTTTTTTGAGGTAGGGTCTTACTATGAAGACCAACTCAGATTTGCCTGCCTTTACCTTCCAATCAATAGAGGCGTGCACCACCATTTTCAGCTCAATAGCAACTTTTAATGTGACCACTTTCATCTACCCAGCTAGTAGTGACTCATCTTCTATTGTAAACAAAATATTGTGCATAAAAACAGAAGGTTACTGGTATGACTAAAGCATAAAGCAAGATGGACTAACAGTAAAAATATCCTTAATTGATAAAATCACAACCAATGTTAACGAAAACCTGTTTAGGATAGGAGCTAAGATAAAGTTCAAAGGAGAAAAATGTTATGTAGTAATATTAAACTCTCTCTTTCTCTGCATGAGCCAGAATATCTCGATAAGGGTAGAGACTCTCCAATCAGATGAAGTTATTGGGCTACATCAGGGTCCTCTAAAACAGTGGTTCTCTACCTGTGGGTCACGACCCCTGGAGGGTTGTCAAATGACCCTTCTAAGGGTCGCCTAACACCACTGGAAAACATAGATATTTATGAATGAGCCATAACGAGCCAGTAGCAAAATTACTGAAGTAACAATGAAATAATTATATGGTTGGTGTTCACCACAACATGAGGAACTGTATTAAAGGGTCAAAGCATTAGAAAGGTTGAGAACTAATGCTCTAAAAGTTTAATTGGAGCTTTGAAAAAGAAATGAAGATAAACGTTATTAGATAGATCTTAACTGGGCCTAGCCCTACTCTGTTATTAGGGATAACGACAGGGAAAGAAGAATCAAGACACCTAGAAGATATGGTTAGACAAGGAAGACACAGAGGTTTGGTCTTCAAGGAATATGTGCATGAATTTACTAGAAAAAGTCTACTTTTACCAGGTGTTTGTTTTTTAAAACATAATGTTTTGTTTGCTTTGAAACAGGGTCTATATATCCCAGGCTGGTCTGGAACTCACAATCTGCCTGCCTCCGCCTCTAGAGTGCTGGGATTAAAGGCCTGCGCCACCACGCCCTGCTTATTCCTGTTTCCTTGTAAACTGGAAACCTCTTAAATCTACGATCTCTATCCTTCTTGCTTTGATAAAAAGTATCAAAGCCAACTCGATGAATTGGAGAAGTTAGGGCTCAACTACATCACACAGATTTTATTAAATGTGGCAAATTATAAGAGGCATTGTGGAGTCAGGTGCCCCGTGTGACCATCAAACTAAGAAATTAATATGCAAAGTATCTAAAAGCCCTTTTAAAAATTCAAAGTAAAATCCCACAACACCAGTCAAGCGGTGAGAATTTTAAGTTCAACTCAAAGTAAACAAGCAAACAACTGAGTTAATCAGTTAATGCATGCAATGACTCGGAATTGCAGAGTTCTCCGGGGTGGGGAGGGGCCGGCAGTCTAGATTTTCTGGCCGCTCTACTTCAGCGAGCCAATTGCACCAACAGTTCCCGAGCTCCGGAGGACCGGGCTGGGCCGGGGAGAGGCGTGCGGGGACCGGATCTGAGCAGGGCCAGCCTCCGGCCCGTAGGACCAGGCGACGGCAGGCCCGCTTGGGACGGCAAGCAGCGCCGGGCGAACAGCAGCGGCCGCGCCAGGCACGACCCCGCTTTTGTTTATGGAGGCGAAGGCGGGAAGGGCCGCTCCGCGGAGGGAAGGCGGCCTCAGCCCAGCCCACGGGGCCGCCCTTTAGGGAGCCGGCTCACCTTGGACATCATCTTCTTCAGCTGACTCTCGGACACCGCCATGGCGCGCGCCTCCGTCCCCGCAGGCAGAGGGTCAGCGCCACGGGGCCGCCCCAGGCCGCCAGACAATCGCCGCCGCCCCGCCCCCGCCAAGCAGGAAGCCGGCGCGCCGTGCTTCCGCTTCCCCCGCGTCACTTCCGAGAACGCCGCTCTGCGGCTTGAGGCTGGGCTTGGGCTTTTATCCGTTCCCACAGTTGCCGGCCGGGCAGGTACTGACGCTAAGCCTTTCGGCCGGCGGGCTAGCGAGCCTCGCCTCGCAGTGTCCCGCCGAAGCCCGGAGTCCGCGCCAATGGCTTGACTAGCTTGTGGGCATCCTGACCCCAGCAGTTGCTTTAGGCAATGATGCCTGAGGCCCCTCTTGGTGTATCACTTGCGTATGTGTTAGTTACTGTCTTTTTGTTTTGTTTTTGTTTTTAGAGACAGGGTTTCTCTGTGTAGTTTTGGAGCCTGTCCTGGATCTTGCTCTGTAGACCAGGCTGGCCTCGAACTCACAGAGATCTGCCTGGCTCTGCCTCCGAGTGCTGGGATTAAAGGTGTGCACTACCACTGCCTGGCCTCTATTTTCATATCTTAATTATCTTGTAGAATGCAAGAAGTGGTATTCGAGCTCAATTGAGTTTCTATTTCCAATAAAAGCTTGTTATAGGGGCTGAAGAGATGGCTCAGCAGCTAAGAGCACTTGTTGCTCTGGCAGAAGGTTTAGGTTAAGGTTCCCAGTTACAGGGGATCCCAGTGACCTCAGTGGGCACCAGGCATGTAGGTGGTGCACGTACATACAATGCAGGCAAAACACCCATAAAATAATCTTTAAAAAAATTGTTAGTGACATATCATTTATTAATTTTATAAGCACAGTCATTGGGCTTAGTGGTTAAAAGCACTTGTTCTACAAGTATGAGGGCCAGAGTTCAGACCTCACAGGGCATTCCTACCCACGCCTGTAACATCTATAGCATTGGCTTCAAGAGGGGTGAAGAAGGATCTCTGGGCTTGCCGGCATCCAGCTTGGTAAAGATGTGAGTCCCAGGTTCAGGAGAAGACCGTGCTTCAAAGAATAGGATGAGAGTGATGGAGTAGGACACTGAACACCTCCCCCATTCCCATGTCTTTAAAATACTCAAAAAGCACGATTTTAAACTGTTCTTAAAGTTGTAGCTTACTTAGAAATGCCTTTAACTAGCAACTGTTTCTATGAATTGGAGTACAAAGTAACACACTGCTTTAGAAGTTTTCTTAACTAGGTGTGGTGATCTATAATTTATAATTGAAGTCCTTGGGAGGCTGAGGCAAGATAATCAAAAAATCAAGTCCTGCATAGGGCTATATAACATTATCCTGTTTCAAAAGTTTTCTATCTAAAATATATATTTTTAAATTTGGAAACAACTGATAAAGGTCATTTTCTTCATTTTGTACTTAAGCCACTTGAATGAATAATGGACATGGGTGCCCTGAGAATAACATAAAAAAAAAAAAATAAACCTTTAATCTGAATGTATTTTCTTTCATTTAATCAGACATCACATGGTCCTTTTAAAATCAAAGTTTATTTTGTTCATTATTTAAGGAAAACAATGTAAATTGGAAAATGAAATTTTACAGTACCAAAAAGTACCTTACAGTACCAAAAAGCATTTTAATCCATGTCCCAATAAAAACTATGAAGTACCGCATGATTTTAGAAAAGTGAACGTTTCCCCCTCCTTGTCAGATGGCAAGAAGAAAAAACATTTTATTTAACATAGTGTTTTTAAAATGAGGAAATAAATATTTCACTAGCTTTTCACAAAACCTGAATTTCAGAACATAATAAGGTAAAAACAACAGGTTATTAATTTGATGTATAATTGATTGAAATGTATCAGATGTTAGATATTATCTAGAAATGAACACTACTGCAGAGCCTGTACCTCAGAGGAGAGATTCTCAAACACTGTATATTTCCCTCTGGTTTTGAGACTGATACAATATATAGGTTAATCAAGTCAACATCATCTAAACCATTAAAAAATTTGGAGAAAATGAAGTTACCAGACAGAAGCCCTGTGATTGTTAAATAATCATCAAATCAAAATGAAGTACCACCTGACTTACAAGGAATTTATGATTGTTACTTAACTGAAGGAAATGTGTGATACAGAAAATGACTTCTGTACTATATGACCTTTTGAGGTTGAGGTCAAACTCTAACAAAATACTTGGAATAACAGTGAGTGTTCAGTAAATATCTGTTGTATTGACATTGCTTTCTATAATTAACATAGTTCTTGGCAGTTCATTGTTATAATATCTGCAGTTGGTTTATTGTTCAAGAGAGTTATTAGATTTTAGAAACTAGGTTGTGGATGAACCACAATGTGGAAGACTTGCCTAGCACTAGTCAGATCCTGGGCTAGATCCCCACAAACAGAACAAAACAAAACAAAAATTGTTGCTGGGCATGGTAGCCAGTACTCATGAGGCTTAGGTAGGAGGATTGCTGAGAGTCTGAGACTAGTCTCAAAAACAAATGAAGAGGACCAGGTGGTGGTGGTGCACACCTTTAATCTCAGCACTTGGGAGGCAGAGGCTGGGGGATCTCTGTGAGTTCGAGGTCTACAGAGTGTAGCCTGGTCTACAGAGTGAGTTCCAGGATAGCCAAAGTGATTACACAGAGAAACCCTGTGTCAAAAAACAAAACAAAAACAAAATGAAGAGAAAGAAATTCTATTTTAGGAATTACTGAATTCCAAATTAGTTATCATCTATTAGAAAATACTACTTTAAAACACATAAATGATTGTTTCAACTTTACTTTCCTATTTCATACAAAAGACCAGTAAAAGCAACACCAAAATCATCTACAAAGAACTAATATTTATCACCTCAACTACCTCAAGTTTTGTGGTTCTGGGACCAAAAACTATAAAACCCGCATATAGGGCAAGCACCTTACCACTGAGCTACATCCCTAGCCTGAATGTCCGAGGTTTAATCCAGTGAACTCTGCTGGGAGTCTTCCTCAGCACATTACTGTTCTACTTTCTCCAATGTGGATGCTGAAGCTCACTTGTCAGTGTTAACTACCCAGTGTCACATCGAGAAGGAGATTACTTCCTTCCACCTCACAAACCACTGAGCTCCTCTCTGTAACCAGACGGATCCCAAACACTCTGGACTTCACTGTACTTAGCACACTTGCATTTACATGATATTTTGTTATTGTGTTCCCCTGCTAATCTGTAAGTACCAGCAAGGCTTGTCCCTAATCTGGCCATGTTCTCCAATAAAGTTTCCTTTGTGAGAAGTTCCTAATAACCACTGGTTGAACGACTAAATAAATAAACATTGTCTTTAGCACATACCACCTGTGTTATCTGTTGAGTCTCTGGGGGTCAGGCTAATCAATCTTTGTAAAAAATACTGTTAAAAATATAGCTGGGTGTGGTGTTGCATGCCTTTAATACCAGCACTTAGGAGGCAGAGGCAGGTAGATCTATGAGTTTGAGGCCAACCTGGTCTATAATAGTGAACTTCAAGACAGCCAGGACGACATTAAAAAAAAAAAAAAAAAGGCTCCCACATGAAAATGAAAGTAATTCTTTCATAGTGTCCCAAGCCTCAACTTTAGTTAGTGTCTTGTGACAGCTTGGCTTTTAGGCCTCTAGGCCTCCCCACAGCCCTCGTTGCTGCCTATAAAAAGTGAGAGGTTGTACAGGTGAGCAGTGCTCCTTAGAACCCATGCAATCTCAGACACCAAAGTTGAACTTCCTCCTCTGTAATGAAGAGAAACAGTCCCGACCTCAGCCAGTCAGTGTCAGGACTCTACAAATAAAGAGCTCACGATATAGGAGCTGTGCCAGCACTGTGTCACAGCAGTCACTGAGCTGGCTCTCCCACGTGGAGATACTGACCAACCAACCACCCAGGCACAGTCGGAAGTACTTCTTCTGGATGACTAAGGCTTGCTCAGAAGCAGCAGACCAAAGCCTCTCTCCCTTAAGACCAATGGTTTTTTTTCATGAAAACTTCATATTTTGGTCTCAAAATATACTGTTTGGCTGTTATTCATTATCTAAGGCCACAGAAAAACACATCTCTCCTTTTCTACTAACACAGTTTTAAGATACATTCAAGATTTTCTAGCCCAGGAAGAGATTATTATAGAAATTTTCAGAAAGGAAGTCTCATTGGAAATTAAATAAATAAATAATTTTTCATATACTTAAAATTCCATTTAACCAATTTAAAATGCATACTAAAATCCTTTCTAATGTTTGGTAGCTAGTGAATTTGAAGTGGGAAAATAAAATGCTTTGCCATTACCATCTACTGGATCTTGCAAAAGAAGCGAATTAATGGGTAAAGCCACGAATCTCTGCATGTACACCTACCACAGATTTGTGCCCATCCCACTTTCAGCTCACCATGCTTAGAATAAACGTCCACAGCAATCTTTAAGGAATGAGTTTCTTTCAGAATATCTCTAAAGTGCTAGATGTGCCTTAAGTTAGGACAAATGCAATTTAAAATGATACACAATGCAAATGAATATTTATCCCTGCTGTACGTAGGTCAAAAACTCCAAAATAAATTAGATCCTTTCCCATTCTCTAACTTCTCAAGGCTTCAAATTACAAAGCTAGCTAAGAAGCTATCTACCATAAAGGCTGTTTGTAAGAACCAATAGTAAGTTGTGTAAGTTCCCAAAACTATGTGTGCTGGCAAAATTAAGCAAGCTTCCCCCTTCAGGTGCCTGTGCTTGGGAATCACAGTTTCAGCTGCTTCTGGAGATCATGGATTGAGGACCCACTGTTCTGGAGTGTCTCAGTCACTGTGTCTTCTGCTCTGGTTTTGACGACTTCAGATACTCCACTGGTTCCCAGGATGCATGGCAAACTTAAAAACACTTCATTATCTAAACCATAATATCCCTGAAATGAAAAGTTGGGATTATAATAAAGCTGAATTAACACAAAATATTAGAAATCATGAGGCTGGAGAGATGACTCAGCAGTTAAGGGTCTGTACTGCTTTTTCCAGAGGATCTGAGTCATTCCCAGTACCCATATCAGGCAGCTCACAAACTGCATATAACTCCAGCTTCAGGAGTTATAGCCTCTATGGGCACTCACACACACACACACACACACACACACACACACACACATATATATATAATTAAAAATAATAAAAACAAATTTAAAAAGTAAGATAATGAAAAGAATTCTCCCTTGACTTTTCTATTAAAAAGTGATACAAGTTAAACTTCATTTGCTTACTGATTTTTGAAACTTGAGTTATGGCTCCGGAAAATGTTTGAGCTAGGAAGAGCCTGGTCAAAGACACCCTCTTTGCAGGGAGTTAAACTAGCTGTCTGCAATGTGGTCAGCAGACTGGAGGCTAATCCAGAGATGGACAGTAGAGTCCTTGGGGAAAGACAGCATGGACTCTGGGCACAGCCACACACACAGTAAGTTATTTTACGTTTTCTTTCCATATTGCATTTCTCTTCTGGTGTTCAAAAAAATCTGCCCCAGTATTTATGCCTCGTGTTAGCTGTGTTTTGGGGGGAATTTATGCTCTGGTAAAAGGCAGAAAACTGCTGGGGTGACTTGCTGGCCTAGGGGGATACATGACAACCAGGAAAAGCACAGACTATATGAACACCTTTGGGAAGGCCCCCAAGTTATGTGCGAGTGAAAGGACAAGCTGATCAGGCCCATTTCCCACACCAAAGCTGCTGGTGCTGACACCCCAGTCCTGCTGCCTTTATAGGATTACTACCAAAGACACCGAAGTCTAAAACACATAAATGAAAATAAGTTACCTTTGCTAGAGTTGATACAGAATACACTTTCTTTTTATTATTTACAATAGTGTCCACCAGGTCAGCCACAGACAGTCCAACAGACCAAGATCTCTGACCTTTTACCCTCAGTAGTTCCATGGCTCTAGATTATAAAAGAGAAAGATGTCAGAAAATTTAAGAAGGCTTGCAGATAAGATAATTATTACTTAAGTTCTTCCTAAAATGTGAGATTCATACATAGTTCACAGAGAAAACACAAATACCCTCATAGCATAAAAAAGATGCTCACCATCATGAATATTTAACTAAATATTACCTAAACAGTAAGTATCATCTGGGCATGGTGGCACATGCCTTTAATCCCAGCACTTGGGAGGGAAAGGAAGATGGAACTCAGTGAGTTCCAGGCTAGCCAGGACTAACTCTGTCTCACAACAAAAACAAATGAACAAAAAGCCATATAAATATGAGTTCGCCTATCAACGCTGACAACAATGAAAAGGACTGACAACTAGTTTTGGGAGCTGTATGAAGAAAGCAGCTATTATAAGTGCTGCTCAGAGTATAGAGTAATATCAGAGAAAACGGGCAGCAATGATCTAGAAACCCCTTTCTCACCCTTTGTCCTGTGGCTCAACTGAGCCAAGGTATACATATGAGCATGTGTGCTGTATTTCAGAAAAAGTTATCCAAAGGGAATGGTTAAATAATTAATTGTCAAATGCCACCCCACATAGCTCTTATGAAAGTAAGGTTGGGGCTGGTTGGCTCAGAGGCTGGAAAGCACACGCTGCTTTTCTAGAAGACTGAGTTCAGCTTCCAGCACCCAAATCAGAAGGCTCACAACTGCAGTGACTCCAGCTGCAGGGAGCAGACTACTTCTTCTAGCACACAGGCACCATCTGTTTCCAGACCATTTGCTATTTCACCATCACCAACAATGCTCTCAAGTCTGGTGTGGTAGTAAAGTGTAGATTTTTAAATCATCAACTTGCGAGTTTTAGCACATCTAACAGTTGGGAAGAGTAGTGAGTGAGGTAATTTAACCTGACTAGGTAATACTGTGTTAATAGGCTCTTCCTCGTTGTTTTGTTTGGATGGTGCTGGAGATTAAACTCAGAGGATGTGCCAAAAGACTAAATTCCCATGTCCTACACCAAAGCTGCTGGTGCTGACCCAGCAGTCTTGCAACTTAATAAGATCAGAGTCTAAAATGCAGGAATGAAAATAAATAAGTCACCTTTCCTGAAGTTGACAGAGAACGCACTCTTACAAGAGTCCACTAGGAGAGATGGCGAGATGGCTCAGCAGTGAAGGACACACAGGACCCAGGTTTGGCTCCCAGCACCCAATTGGCAGCTCACAACTGACTGTAACTCCAGTTCCAGGGGATCTGACATCCTTGTCTAGCTTCTGCATGTGTCAGACACACATGTAATACACATACATACATGCAAGCAAATCTTTATACATATAAAATAAAAATAAATCCTAAAATAAGAAGGTAGACTTAGATGTACAATACAGAAAGATATTTAATTTTATAATTAATCAGTTTGCAGGATGGTACAGATTGTATAACCTATTATAAATGAACACTGTGGGGCTGGAGAGATGGCTCAGAGGGGGGCTGGAGAGATGGCTCAAAGGTTAAGAGCACTGACTGCTCTTCCAGAGGTCCAGAGTTCAATTCCCAGCAACCATATGGTGGCTCACAACCATCTGTAATGAGATCTGGTGCCCTCTTCTGGCCTGCAGTCATATATGCTGTATACATAATAAATAAATCTTTAAAAAAAATGAACACTGTATTTGCAGAAATATTACAAAGTTGGGGGCATGTTAAACTGGTTGTTTCTAGAAGATGGATTATCTCAGCTTTTTACTCTCTATAAACAGCTGTGGTATTTGAAGTTTAGAATAGGCATACATTTTTTTGTTAAAAAAAAGTATGTAAATTAAACCTGTTTAAATTTATTCCATTTAAAAACTATAGGGAGCATAATTCAGTGGTAAAACACATGCTTAGCACATCCATGGCTCTGAGTTTAATCTCCAGCACCATCAAAACAAACAAACAACAAAAAACAACAAAATAGAAGAATGTATAATGCAATAATGCAGTACTATTTTACATTACCTTGCACACTATTCTTTCCAACTGTTATGTGTTCTAAAACTTACAAGCTGAAGATTTACAGATCTACACTTTACTGCCACACCAGACTTGAGGAGAGTATTGTTTGTGATGGAGAAATAAAAATGGCCTGAAAATAATCTTTGTGTAAACCCAATGTACGGGGCAAACCCCAGAAGGCCTCCAGACAGTGCGTCTGTGCACTGCACGCTCCTCTGACAAGGATATGGAAAGCTTTGGTCTTAGACTGATTTCCCAATGTATTCCTGTATACTTATTCTATATCCATTTCTAGGCGATTGTGGAGATGAGTCCTCTTCCACACTAACTTAGTATTAGATGATTAGATATAAAGGAGGCAAATCATTGTCTCAAATCACGACACCGCTCTTCCCTTTAAATGTCTAAACAAGCTTGCAAAGTCCAGGCCTACATAGCACTGCTCCTTGTACCTCGGTACTTCCTGTTAGCTAGTCCTGTTTACAGAAGCCTGGTAAGAACCTGCCGTGTAAATAGCTGCTGTGTCAGCTGTGAAGCACGTGACTTAGCTGGATATTCGAAAATTTACACTTTACCTGCTGGACAGCTGTGCCTGAGAGCTATGACTCATTACTCCGTCTCGGCCACTCCATGAGCACACTAAAATTAAACAAAGAAGTGGTTATATTTTGCCAATGATTTTCTAAGGCTAAGATGTGGCAAATGACTGAGAGTGATGGCTTATGCTTTTAAATTGCAGCCATCGAGAGGCAGAAGCAGGAAGATAGATCTCCTTGAGTTCAAAGCCAGCCTGATCTACACAACCAGTTCCAGGACAGCCAGGGCTACACAGTGAAACAGTGATTTAAAAAAAAAAAGTGTGTGTGTGTGTGTGTGTGTGTGTGTAACAACCGTTTTCTATTGATGGCACTGAATTTTCTATGCTAGGACAAGATTTTGACCCTAAATCTCCTAAAAATATGATCCCTAAGATCTACTTTGTGGCTTCTTTACCTGTTCTCACTCATCAGCAAAGATCCACAGGGGCCACTTTACTGTTCACACAGGAGGAGCTCTTTCCTCGGGCGGCTGCAGATAACAGGCTATCCAGTGTTATAAGCACTTGACATTTGTTCTGCTGGGAAGCACACTGACTATTTGAGGAATAACTTGGTAACCTATTTTCAGATGGAATTCTACAACTGTAAGAGAAGCCACACCTTCCAGGTTACCCAAATCCAATAACCATAGTGTTCGTAAGATAATTAAAAAATCTGATTCAGCACAAAGAAGCCGAAATTTTTAAAGCATGATGGGACTTGAAACCTCCTTTTTGTACATGCCAAGCACGCACTTTGCCAAGGCATTGCATCTGAAGTGCCCACAAACTGGATATTTGTGCTGTTTTTTAATATTGGCCTGATATTGTAACATTTGAAACCAATTCCAATATTCATCTATATAACGACTTTTTTTTTATATATATATAATTCTATTTTAGGGTAGGCAAAGCAAAAATACATTTGGCTATAGAAGAGTATCTTATATCACATACTCTAAACTGCATTAAAATCAACCAAACAAACCAAACAAACAAAGCCAGACTATTTAGTGGTGTGTCAGCAACAACGGACTTGGTAGAACGCAGACGCCTCCCTTCTTCAAGCTGACTGATCGTAAGCTGCCCTGGTGCAGGGGCCACTTGCTCCTCTTTTTGGTCCTCTGCAGTCTCTCTTCTACTATGATGCTGAGGACAGGAGCTAACACACAGTCAACCCTACGCACCATTCAAGATTACATTAGTAACCACACCACCACTGAGGACTCGTGTAACGGTTAAGGTGAAAAATATGAGGAAGCTTCAGGCTTTTTCTATAACGCTGGGATTGAACCTAGGGCCATGCTCATTCTGGGCAGGTGCTCTATCACTGTACCCTACACCTCGTTGTCTCCGCCTCCAAAACAAACAACAAAAAACCCACAACCCTTTTTGCAAATAAAAAAGCACAAACCTAAGAACTGTTATACAAAAAATATAAATATTTATAGAAAGCTAAGAATTTTTTAAAATTTAATTTTACTGGATTTTTGTTGTTTTGATTTTGTTTGTGACAAGGTCTCACTATATAGTACTGGCTTGCATGGAACTCCTTTTGTAGATAAGGCTAGAACTCCCAGAGATCCTCCTGCCTCTGCTTCCTGAGTGCTGAGATTAAAAGTGTGTGCCACTATGACAGGCCTAAGAAATGTTTTAAATGTTCTACTTAGAAGGGTTATATAAGAATTACTTACGTAGGTTTTCTGTTATATTATTAGTATAATATTAGCAATAATTAAAAACTGGGGCATGAAGAACAGTTGCTAACTGCAATACAGTATTATAGAACTTGAAAGGGTAATTAATAGCAGGGTAGGCATGAGAAAAAAATCACAAAGGAGATAAAATAATCAGAAAACTATGAGTATTGCTATCAGTATGCATAGTTAAGATGGAACAGACGGATATATAGGAATCTCATATCCTTTTTTTTACTTAGTTTTTAAAAAAAATATTTACTTATGCATATCAGTGTTCTATTTGCACATATGCTTGCGTGACAGAAGAGGGTATCAGACAGAACAGAGCATCAGATCCCATTACAGTTGGTTGTGAGTCACCATGTGGTTGCTGGGAATTGAACTCAGGACCTCTGGAAGAGCAACCAGTTCTCTTAGCTGCTGAGCCACCTCTCCAACCCCTTAAATTTTTTTTAAGGTTTACTTATTTTATGTGTGTTGCCTGCACCTATGTATGTGCATAGAAGCTGTGCCTGAAGAGGCCAGAAAAGGGCATCAGAGTCCCTGACACTGGAATTCCAGGCAGTCGTATGCCACCATGTGGTGCTCAGAACCCAACCTGAGCCCTCTGCAAGAGCAACAAGTGCTCTTAACCACACAACCAACTCTCTAGCTCTATGCATCTCACATCTTTCAATCTTTCCTCTATATAAGCCCTGACTCATAAGTTAAGAGAGAAAATGTTTAGTGTCCAAATCTGCTTGTAACAAAATAAGTAAGTCAGGATTCATTAATTGTTTCCCGTTCTGTTTTACTGTCCAGCCCTTTACATCCTGATGTAGATCCATTCTTGGTTAAGACATTTAAAATAACGCATTTAATCATCTTCATCCTCTATTCTGCAATCTTCAGAAACAGGCTCCAAGAACTTTAATGAAAAATGTCCATAGGGGACACGGGCTGAAGCTTAGTGGCAGAGGGCTTGGGTTCAACTCTCAGCACTAGAGAATTATCACTGAGTGTGGTGACACACGCCTGCAATCCTGGCACTAAGGAGGCGAGGGAAAGAGGATCAGAAGTTCACATGGCAAGTTTTAGGTTACCCTGGGTGTATGAGACCCTGTCTTATAAAAATTAGTAAAGTAAAAATACTGCCTACAGGACTGCTCTTTCTTATTACATACAAAGCCAAACCTGTGCCAAAAGAGATAACAGATTCTGTTCTGAGATCCAGCCCTCAGACTGCTAAAATACCACTGCAGTGATCTGTGTTTACATATGATTTCAACAACACGGTTAAAAAGAGCAGCTCTTGAGCAAATGTTCTGCTAACCGTATAACTTGGTGCAGAATAAATGATTAATTTTTGGTCACAACAAGGTGATGTCAGGATCATTCATTCAATCCAAAATAAGCAAAGCATTCCAAGCTGAAGGAGATGACTTGTTGTATGAAGAACAGGTGTGTAAATAGCACAGTGGTGATGATACAACAGACAAAGGGTAACTCGGTACGCTACTGCTTTAACGCAAGCACAGACTTACCTAACCTGGAGTGCTTCTAGGAAGAGTGGCATGTAAGCAGCCATGGCGGAAAGCAGGAACTAGCTAAGGGAATGGGTGTTCCGGGAGAGTGCATGAGTCACTGCAGGTGACCTTCTGGTTAGCCCCGGACACCTGGCAGAACAGCAGCTGAAGCTGAGGAAGGAAGCAGGCAACAGAGCCTAAAGCTCTTATTTGCCCTGGGGCTCCTCCCTAGGCTGTGGCTATCACTGGAGAACTTGAGGATTTTACTTAGACACTTCTATTCTTACAACTGTTCCCAAGACCTAACATTGCTTCACTTCAAAGTGTTCTTTTAAGTTTCCTTTTGCTAATTCTTATTCACTGCCATCTTTAAATAACAATCCACTGAGTGTTTACTCTGCACCAGGCATGGCATAAAATATTTAAGTGACATTAAGTGACAGCAAGAAAGAATCCATCTTTAGCATCAATTTAGGGCTGCTTTCATTGGATATATCACCCTCAGCAGCTCACTCATCCTTACTGGGCTGTGTTTCCTCTTCAACACATTTAGAAAACAGGTGCTCAGCAGGTGGTGGTGGCGCAGGCCTTTAATCCCAGCACTCGGAAGACAGAGGCAGGCGGATCTCTGTGAGTTTGAGGCCAGCTCTGTCTACAGAGTGAGTTCCAGAACAGCCCAGGATACACAGAAAAATTCTGTCTCAAAACAAAACAAAACAACAACAACAACAAAAACACTGGCTACTCTTCCAGAGGATCTGGGTTCAATTCCTGACACATACATGGCAGCTCACAACCATCTGAAACTCTAGTTATAGGGGATCTGACACCCTCACACAGACATACAGGCAGGCAAAACACCAATACATATAAAATAAAAAAAATGAATTTAAAAAAGAGAAAACTGTTTCTTCCTTCCCAGGGTATTTGTAAAATTTAAGTGAGATACCTGTATGAAAAGTACTTCATAAAAATGGTAATAATTAAAAATCAGTTCTATCACATTACTGTTGTCACTGGTGCAAAAACTACCAGTTGGTCTCTAGCATGCAGCCAGCAGAGGGAGCTTCTGATCCATTTCTGCCTTTAGGGACATGTAAGAAAACCTAGCCATGGATATACCCCACTGTGGAGCAAGAGTTGAAGACTACAAAGGCGAGAGCCAGGGGTGTAGCTCTGTGGTTGGAGTTTTTCTAGCAAGTACAAGGATCCCTGGAATTGATCCTAGCACTGTAAAAGACAAACGTCTGATGCATTCCTAGACAGTAAACAGGACGATGGCCTGGGAAGTGTGAGCCACTTCCGAGGTGCTCATGATGCTCCTGACTGAGTGTACATTCATGAGTGCTTGCTCTATTAGGTTTCAAAATTTGCACATAGCTCTCTCTATATAATTTATACTATATATGTCAAATATTACAACACTGTATTTAAATAATCCCAATTTGCATCCTCCTCTATTCCCGTTTCTAGTTCTCAGCTGAAAACCCAAGTTACAAGTGCCATGTCTATTCCCTATGTTTTCACTACCTCTTGGCAACAAACCAATCCTGCCTTCTGGTCATTCCTACATGAAACCCCAAGCTCCCAAGAGATGGGTCAGCAGAGCCACCACAGTATCTTAGGAACACAGGTGTTCATCAGAACTTTCTGAAATAAATCCCTACATTTGGGGCTGGAGAGATGGCTCAGTGGCTAAGAGCACTGACTGCTCTTCCAGAGGATCTGGGCTCAGCACCCAGCACCTACCCACATGGCAGCTTACACCTGTCTGTAACTCTAGGATCCAACAGACATACAGGCAAAACACCAATGCACATAAAATAAATTTAAAAAAAGAGACATGCTATAAATCCCTACATTTGAGATAAAAGGCCATTTAATTAAAAAAACAAACTACTTTTAAAGGAGATTTTAATTATCCTTGTTTAAAGACCTCAGATTCTATTAAATTATTACTTTTCTTCCTTCACCTACACATACTAGATGAAGATATACAGCCATATTTATTAAATGGCACCATCCTATTTTTTTGTTTTTGTGATTTTGTAAGTTACTACACATATGTATGTATTATGTTGTTGTTAGGAAATTTATTGACCACACTACAAAGGAGGAATAAGTCAGGCAGTAACTACAATATTGCCTGCCTAATACAATATTTTGAAATGTTCTTATTCAACTCTACATTTATTATATGTGAAAACTTATTAGGAGAACTAGTTAAATACATTATGATATATTCTATACTTGAGAATGTACCAGTGTCCATATTTTAACACCATCTGCAGGCAGTTCCTAGCTGGTGCCTCTGCCTGGTTCTGATCTCCCATTCCCAGAATGTGTTCATCACTCTTTACTGTCTATTCAAATCCTACCCATTCTTCCAATACCTCATTCAATGACTACCTTTACTATCAATCAAGGTACTATAGGTATAGTATTCTTTTTTTCCTAGTGATTTCAACACATGTCAAATGCATATATAAATGTCTAAGCATCAAAATAATAATAATAAAGAGTATCATGTACCTTGTCAGCTAAAATATCTGCTATTTTCTTCTCTCTAAAATAGAGACTGTGTGCACACCTTTCACATTACACGGAATCTAGTGAGCACCGAGTAGAGCACAGACACTTGTATTCTGGTTTATGTGTGTGTGTGTGTGTGTGTGTGTGTGTGTGTGTGTGTGTGTGATTAACTTAGGGCAGCTGCAGTGCTATCTCCTGACCAGCCTGGCTTCACAACACGGAACAAGGTGTAACGGGAGGCATCTCAAATACAAAGGCCTTCTTTGGGGAGAAGAAAAGGGATTCATTTTTGTTTCCATACAGGGAGGTGAAGTGATGCTTTTATGATAGCGAGAGAACAAGCAGCTTGTTAAAAAGGCCACAGGCTGAAAATTCTTTCAGAAAAAAAAGAAACAAACCAGAGGCATGAATTTAGGAGGGAAGACTTAGCTTAGGAAAAATAAACAAAGTTGGATGTGGAGAGAGTAATGGGGATTTCTAAATGCTTCAGGTGTATTGAAATATTTAAAAAGAAAATTAATACTTTAAAACTAATTCTAGACTCCAAAATTCAATTTAAAATATAAAACCTGACTAAGAGGTCTTTCATTAAGCTCAAGGAAAACAAATATATGAGTATGACAGAGGCCAGGTTGTAACTCAGTGGTAGTGTACCTGCCTAACACACATGAAGCCCTAGGTTCAATTCCCAGCAACACACACACACACAAGCACACACAGGTGCACATGCATGCACACCAGCAACACACACACACACACACACACACACACACACACACACACACGGACAGCAAATGATCCTCATAAAGGTTCGTTAACAGAAGGCATTCACTAAGCTCCACAATTCTAAGGTCCCGAATAGAAAAGACTATTCCCAAATAGTCATGACTTCAGAGTATAAGCAGCAAAATTAATAATGACGTACTTACCTTTATTTTCTCCCTGTTCACCAATAACCCATACTTCTTTGCCTGAAGTCTGTGCCTTCAAAACATTTGTAATAATGTATTGTAATCTCTGTGAATCCAGATTGCATCCAATCCCAATCACTTGATTTGCAGGAAATGTGCTTAGTTTCCATGTCACATAGCTCATGATTTCCACTAAATGTTACACAAAGAGAAAATTTAAAGATTACAAAAAAATATGCTTCTATCCAAGCTCACAAGGAAAGTACTATTTCACTAGTGGAGCATGTTAGAGCCTCCACAGACTCTCAAAGTCTTAAATGCACTGAAGCATTACACTCTCTGAGGCAGGGTCTGCTACATAGTCTAGTTGGCCTTGAACTTCCAATCTTTCCCCCTCCACTCCTGAGTACTGGGATTACAGAAGTGCACCAACATGGCTGGTAGTATGTTTATAAAGTGTATTGAAAACACTAGCCAGGTTAAGGCATTTTTATATAATTTTCTCATGAAACACAAATTGCTAAGGGTAGAAAATAAATAAGTTCCCAGACAGTTAAGCAAGAAAGGTGAAAACTGGGTATAGAAAGCAGGAAAATAATAATTTCATTTCAATGAAGCATTAATTATCTGTGTGCGTGTGTGCCCATGTGAATGTGCAGGGTTTTGAACCCAGGGCCTCATCATGAGAGGCAAGCACTCTATCACCAAGCCATATCCCCAGCCCAATAATCTCATTTCACAGATACAATTTATTTAATGTTTTAGGCTTACATTAAAATACCTATTCATGTATTATTATGAGTCTAGCACCTTGAAAAAAAAAAACTCCCCTTTTTCTTATGTGACAAAAGGATCTCAGGATTTAAAGAGACCAATGTCTCTGACAATTATAGATGAAACACAGAACTCTGGAACATTTCTAACAGGTGCTTAGTTATTGAGCCCACACTACCTAACTCTTTGGAAACACTTATTTCTTTAAATAATCTACAAAATATAAAATGTTAAAGATGACAGTGAGGGTGGGTGAGATGGTGCAATGTAAAGGTAGTTGCCATTAAGGCTGACAATCCGAGTTCAATGCCCAGAAGCCACGTGGTGAAAGCAGAGCTGTCTTCTGACATTCACACACATTGGGTATGTGCACAGACACAGACACACACACACACACACACACACACACACACACACACACACACACACTCAATGTAAAAAAGTTTCTTTGAATGTACAATGATACGTTTCTTCACATCTTTGTAACACCAGAGACTTAAGTTATCTTACACATAAATGCCACTACATGTTTCCCTTGGGGGTTATAACCATTTTCTCACGGAAGGAGGTATGGCTAACAACTGGAAGACAATATCACATTTTGTCGGTGGCCATGTCAAAGGAGCTGCAGCCAGCAATGGAGCTTAGGGAGTTCAATTCACTGAGGAGCAAAGCTACAGCCAATAAACCCTAGAGAAGCAAAGGCCCGGGAGGCGGGGACTGTCTCCAGGATGCCCTTGCTTCTGCTGTGCTTCCTCCTGCTGGCTGCTACCCGGTTCCTGCCGTATTTGGCACGGTGATTACTACGTGAAAGGATCCCACTGTATCTAGTACAGTGTGATTGTTCCATAAGAAAATCCCACTCCTCACTGGGCAATTTAATTTCAGATTATAATGAAGATGATTTTTATAAGAGCAATGATACTTAGTTGAATCTATGATTTAATTAAACATTTTGAGTCAGCCTAAAAGATACAGGTGACTGGGACAATTAGTAAAGATGATTATGAAAATGGTTTAGGTTATTCTGCCTGTTGCTCCAATAAGAGATGCAAAAAAGACAAAGATAGGCTAGACGTAACCTTCCCCTTTGTTAGATGTGAGATTGCAGAGGATGGAAAATAAGAACAAGGAAGTTTCATGCATTATAGAGCCATGAATTCTGCCTGTGGAAAAGGCTGATGATCAAAGAAAGCAATTAAGCCCCTACACCCAGGGTTAGGCCTGAGTGCCTTGGTCATGTAGCTTGAAGAATTAATCACAGGTTTCAGTATGCACCTTGGAAAAAAACAAAATTGTGAAAGGAAATTAAATGACCCTATTGTGTGTAAAGAATAAAGAAAAAGATGGTTAGCTAGACCACTTGTTTAAAGTTTTTTATAGGATAGAAATCTGCTACATTGAAACTGTAAACAGCTGCCTGCCAGTACAAAATGAACTGACTGAAATAAATTTGCCTTGCTTAAAACTTTGTTAATCAGTAATAAAAGAATCACTGCTTTGGGGTGAAGATGTTATGGTGGGAAAATCAGTACAAAGGAAAATTTTAACTACTTGTGGGCTTCTAAGGAAAACATGTGATCTTAACATGATTTCCTCTTATGTAAAGATTTTAATGTGTTTTTGGAAAATATGTAACTTGTAGTTATGATGTAATCTTTTCTTACATAGAAATCTTTGTTTTAGGTGGTAAAAAGAGGATTAAGGGGGAAATACAGAACAGAAAAAGCAGCAGAAAGAAAATAATGAAGAGTTAAGCTTTGGTCCTCAGGAAAGTCTCCTATGCGTGTATGCAGTCCTCTTCAGTTTCTCTGACCTGCTGAGAGCTGGTTTTCTCGGCAACATTTCATGAAACGCTGGGTTGTAACCTTGGTAATAACAGTTATAAGGAGTAACCGTTACGAGAATACGGATGTATGTACTGTTCATTGTAAGAGCAGTCTTACTGAATATCTCTTTATTTACCACAGTGCTTTGGCTTTTTTTTTTTTTTAAATCAGCAATAGCAATTATACTGATGATCTGGACCATTATTTGAATTTAAAATAAAACCCTTTACCTGGTTGAGATGCAACAAGGAAGACAGCATGTTGACTATAATGTCCCAGAGCTGGGACAAGAGCTCTGAACATGTCCACGTTGCTTTGCACGGCATGCAGGTAGGACTCGGAACCACCCAAAGAGTTGGCTGTGAAGATCACCACCTTGGAATGAGCAGAGGCAGACAAATCTGATGAACAAAAAGAAACAGTCTGAGTTCAAGACAGTATACACTAATGCTAGTACATGATAAAAATGTTCCTATTCTATGAGCAAAGAGCCTTCAGGCATACATGCCCCTATAGCTATCCATCAGAACACTGAAGAGCAACAGCATGGATCCCAGGGCCAAGCATGGTGGTACACAGCTGTGATCCAGCACTTGGGAGGTAGAAGCAGAATGGCTTCAAGTTGGAGGCCAGCCTGGGATACATAACGAGACAGGCAGGAGGTTAGAAAGAGCCAGCACCAGCACACAGAGACTGAGTTTTCTATGTAATTCACAACTCTTAAAGGGGAAATGAATAATGTGCTATAGGTAAAATGAACTGACAGCCACTGGCCTCTGTACTGTGAGTCTGGGAGCCACAGGATTCCTTGAAAGTGACTGTGCTAGAAGCGGGGAGAATGGGAAGAGGACTGAGCACAAAGTGAAGTGACTCGGGTAAGTCAGCAGAGGGGCTGGAAGTCAGGCCCAGGCAGGCTGGTTGCAGACTCTATGCTATTAACCCCCCTTGGAAGAATGAAAACTGGTACCTGGAGAGGTTAGGAAGCTTGTACAGAGCATCAAAAATCAGTGACCAGTTCAATGTACAACACTACGCCTTGGCTTCAACCTGATTTGCCAGAGTCCTCTTCCTTCTCTGGCTTCCTCTGCCTTGAATGATAAAAATGTCCTCATCCTCACAGGTAATTCTGAGTCTCTGCTTGGTGGCAAGTACCATAAGTACCATGTACTGTACATTTCTTTCAAAGACTCTGTTCTTTCAAGTATTCAATTATTTCACCACTTACCAATGGCTAATGAGACACACGGGGGGAAAAAAGATTTCCTTAGGTCCTAAACAGTCTCTTCCTCTAGGGACGGGTACTAAAGAGTCTCTCCTACAGGATCTGAAGAGTTAAAAGGTCCCTTAAGAACTTCAGGACTGGGAACAACTGGCACACGAGAATATCCAGCTCCCTAAGGAGCCTTCCGTGGCCATTAAAGCAACTACAGTGCTCTCTCAGATGAGGAAAATGAGCTAACTGTCTCCTCTAGGGATCCGAAAGCTTGCTGAACTGTGACTTTAGAACAGACAGGCAAGCCAACTTCTCTGACCACCATCAGTACGTCCTAGTTTGGGGAACTGTTTGATACATTATTTGGAAAACAGTCTTTTGAATATAAGAGACTGAAGGAAAGACAAAAGATGCCCACACAACTGTGGCATGTACAAGCTGGTCTTATATATAACAGGTAGAAATGTTTTAGGACACACATTTGTTCAGTGATCTGTCTTTGTTATTTTGATTTTAAGTTTTATTTTTAATGTATGCATCTGTGTGTGTATGCCATGTGTGGGTGCCTGTGGAGGCTGTCGGAACCCCTGGAGCTAGGATCACAGGCAGTTGAGAGATGCCTCATCTGGGTGCTGGGAACCACACTTGAGTCCTCTGCAAGAGCAGTTTGTGCTCTTATCCACTGAGCCAGCTCTCCAGGCGTGGTGGGCTTGTTTTTAAAATTATGCATTCCTGGTCAAATATTTTTAAACCCGCATCCCCAAATATGGTATTTATCTAGGTAAATATATCTGCACTAATACGATGTTAATATACAATAAAATGACCTAGCCTCAGTGGCAGGTGCCTAGTTACCACTAAGTGGGAGAGGCAGGACGGGCAGCGGGGAACTGCGAGACTGAGGCCCCCACACACACAAAGGATGAGACAGCAAGAAGAACTTTTTTTCTTTTTCTTCTTGTGGGTGTGGGATTGAATCCAGGGCCTCATACACGATAGGTAAGTGTTCTACCATTTACTGCCTAAAATAACATTTCAGATCTTATTTATTGGACAACAACCTTTTTGTTCTTATTAGAACTCGTGATAAGTACGGTTTGGATATAATCAAAGAGAACTGAGTGTCTTCGTTAGTCTCGGCTTAGCGCTTCTATGCACCACGGCAGACAGTCCGTTCCCAGTTACAGCTGAGAAACTGAACTTACTCTTTTTTTTTTTAATGTATGAGTGCTCTGTCCATATGTATGCCTGCATGACAGAAGAGGTCAAAATCCTGTTATAGATGGTTGTAAGCCACCACATGTGTGCTGGGAATTGAACTCAGGACCTCTGGAAGAGTAGCCAGTGCTCTTAATCTCTGAGCCATCTCTTTAGCCCCGAAACTGAGCTTTCATTGTTGAGAGATCATTTAAACTGCAATGTCAGACTATAATGTGGCTGAGCTAAGGTGCAAACCGCATCTGCCTGACTCTAAAGTTAGTGCTCTGAACCATTATATCGCGAGAAAGGAAGTGACCATAGAAATGCTTATTTGGAGATGTAAGTCAGAGAAAAAGAATAAAAATTTTGACCAATTAGAATGAGTCTGAATGATATTTGCTCATTTGACTCCTGCTAATATATCCGGTTACAACTGGTGTAAGACTTTTGATAAATCCACTGATTTATTTCCAAGTCTTTGTTTCGAAACATGTAAAACAAGGGATTTGGAACAGGTGATCTTCATGGTACTTTTAAGCCTTAAAATTCTAGGACCTGTACTGGAGAGACTACTCAGTGGATAAAGGCTCCTGCCACTGAACTTGACAACCTGAGTCTGATCCCCAGGACCTATATGCAGGAGAGAACCAACTCTTGAAGGTACACAATGCTATGGTATATGTGTGCCCACATCCCAACCAAAGTAAGTGAAAATATAATTTAAAAAATCTAGGACTTAATTCTCAGTTCCAAAAGTAAATAAATAATCTAAGAAGCAATTACTAGAGCAAGTAACATAACCATCTTTAAATAGAATAATCAAACCTTTGCTGATCTCTACATTAGGCAGGTTGAAGATATCAAGGTCCATCGTCCCTTGGTTAGTCCCATCGGAGAGGTCTAAAAGGATCAGCTTGTCTGCAATGCCCTGTGTGAAAAAATTGGAACAAGAGCAGCATTCTACAGATTTAGCCAGCTCCTCAATATGAGCTCACTGAGAAAGACCAAAGGAAGCCTCCTGAACTACTTGAGAATGACAAATAACACAATAGCAATGAAGGAGGTGTCAACAAGACACTATTATGTGAGAGACACTACCCTTCAGGCTTGACTACTGACTAGCAGACCTAACATGGCTTACTCAGGAGGCAAACTATCTTCTAATGGAATGAATGAGAAAGGGGACATGGTGCACTAGGTAGGCATGCTACTGTTCCTCTTGAGTCAGATATTTGCCGTAGTATCTTGTTGTTATTCTTCCTTCCTTCCTTCCTTCCTTCCTTCCTTCCTTCCTTCCTTCCTTCCTTCCTTCCTTCCTTCCTTCCTTCCTTCCTTCCTTCCTTCCTTCCTTCCTTCCTTCCTTCTTTCTCTTTCTTTCTCTCTCTGTCTCTCTTTCTGTCTCTCTCTCTCTCTCTCTCTCTCTCTTTTTTTTTAAAAAGTTTTCCTAAGACTTGGTTTCTCTGTCTAGTCCTGGCTGGCTTTAAACTCACAGAGATTCACCTGCCTCTGCCTCCCTGGTGCTGGATTAAAGGCATGCACCACCACACCTGCTTAGTATCTGTTCTTTGTTGTTGTTGTTGGTTTTTCAAGATAAGGTTTCTCTGTGTAGTTTTGGTGCCTATCCTTGATCTTGCTCTGTAGACCAGGCTGGCCTCGAACTCATAGAAATCCACCTGGCTCTGCCTCCAGAGTGCTGGGATTGAAGGCATGCGCTACCACCCGATAGTATCTGTTCTTATCTTAAACAGTCTGGAATGATTTTGGAGTCTATTTTAGCATATCATTCCTTGCTTAAAAGTCAAAACTCATGCCAGGTTTTTTTCAAAACAAACAAACAAGTACTCTCTATGTAGAGAAAGATAAATAGAAGAGAGAGTGTGTGTACCACAAACCTAAGGTCAAATCCTGCTGTCATGCATTATTTTCCCCAAAGATGTCCTAGAAAACTACTCCCCATGCCTGTGAATGGCTCCCTGGGCAGTATGGTGAGCAGACTGTAAGTAACAGCCAGTAAATGCCTAAGAGTCTCTGTAGGTGGGAATGGGAGCCCTTTGGTCTAAAGGACCCAGGGACCTACTAAGCATCACCAGAAGAGGCTAAGAAAGCAACTCCATTTGTTGTCTGTTAGCTATACACTGGCCAAGTCACTGAACTTAGCCTTACTTCTGGTGTTTGTGAGATTAGTAAGTATATGGCACAGGGCCAGACATGATAGTCCTTTCTAAATCATAGCTATCAATCTTATTATTGTGAACCACACTAGGAAAATGCAAAGAAAGTATGTATTTCCGTCCTCATTTAGTACACACAAAGATCCAAAAGTGTGAGAATAAATTAGTACAGCTGACATAGCAGAAATTTCACACACACACACACACACACACACACACACACACACACCCGCTCTTAATTGAGGCAGAGTTTCTCTGTGTAGCCCTAGTTGTTCTGGAACTCTCTATGTAGATCAGGCTGGCCTTGAACTCAGAAATTTGCCTGCCTCTGCCCCATAAGAGGTGGGACTAAAGGTGTGTACCACTTACATTTAGCTCAATTTAACAATTTCTATCAAAAATTTAAAACATTTTAGAAATTAAAAAAATCAGCCGGGCGGTGGTGGCGCACGCCTTTAATCCCAGCACTCGGGAGGCAGAACCAGGCGGATCTTTGTGAGTTCGAGGCCAGCCTGGGCTACCAAGTGAGCTCCAGAAAAGGCGCAAAGCTACGCAGAGAAACCCTGTCTCGAAAAACCAAAAAAAAAAAAAAAAGAAAAAAGAAAAAAAAAAGAAATTAAAAAAATCAGTAAATTATGTAATCCACTAGTCTCATTTATAGGAGTTATCCTACAAAAGTACTAGCACATGTGAAAAATGACACAATATGTATAGATACTCAAGATGAGAATCAACCCAAGGATTCACTCTGAAGAAGAAGGGCTCAGGCTATATACTGTACCGGTGTGTCATCAGTGAGGTGCTGATCACCAGGCTGCAGTAAAATGAAGATTTAGCAGAAGACTATGCATTTCTAACCAATTCTTAGGAGACAGATGCCAGTGTTACCGCTCTTCAAGTCACACTCTGAAAGCCAGGTGTGGCTGAAATTGCCTGTAATCCCAGCATTCAGGAGGCTGAGGAAGCAGACTATTTAAGAGCAGGCTGGGTTGCACAGCATCACCCTGGTAATGATCTAGACAACAGGTTACAATCCCCAGAAACCCATGCAAATAAATGTGGGGTGGGAATGGCAGCCCACATGTAATTGCAGCCTCAGAAGGCAGAGACAGAGGATCCCAGAGTAAACTGGCTGGTGAGACTAGCCATATCGTCCAGCTGTGTGTTTGACTGAACGATCCTGCCTTGATGCATAAAGTGGGAGAGCAATCGAGGATGATTCCCCACATCAACCTTAGGTTTCCACATGCACAAGCACACTTGTGCACACATACCCACAATGTGTACTTACACGTGCCAAAAATGCATATACACATAAGTAATACACACATACATGAAAAAATGGAAAAAATTAAAATTCAATGGAAGTATAGCTATGCTTCCAGCCACTAGGTTTACATACCTTTGCTGAAATTGCCAATGTGCAGGCAATACCCAAATCTCCACTTCCAACCACAGTAATTTTATTGTGTATTTTATTCTCATGATTTGTCCAGCCCCTTGAATTTATGTCTGAGACACCTATGGGGGGGAAAAAAAAGATCATCCTGAGAATTAAAAAGTAATATTAAAAAAAACCTTTTAACATTTTATGAGCTTGGTGAGGTGGCATACATTTATAATCCCAGCACTCAAGAAGGTGAGGTAGGATTGCAAGTTCAAGACTAGCCTGACCCACACAGTATGACCTTGTTCCTCTGTCCTCCTCCCTCCAAAAAACCCTTTCTAGCATCTTCTTAAAAATAAAACAAACTTCAAAAGCTCGGATAGAGATTCTATAGATTAATTAAAAAGCAAAACAAAACAAAAAAACCAACCAACTTGCTGAACTAAGGAGGGCAAGGACAGGAGCCTGAAACTAAGCATGGCAGCTCACTCCTACAAGCCCGGCAACCAGGAGACGGAGGCAGTGCCTGGGTCACACAGTGACACCTCGTCTAGGGAGCAGGAGGCGTAAGAGGGGGAGGCTGGGCACTTCTGTGCATGCCTGTAATCCCAGCAACTGCGAGGAGGCAGAAAGGTCAGGAGTTCAGGGTGATCTTCAGCTACACGGTGTTTGAGACCAGGCGGAATTACCTGAGATCCGGACTCAGACTAAAACATTGCACTCGCCCGCCCCGAGAAAAACAGTGTCTTATGTTGAATGTTGTTTTACATAGAGGTTCTCCTTTTTAAAGACAGTGTTATAAACATTTAAAACTTTTTATTTGGGGCTGGAGAGATGGCTCAGTGGTTAAGAGAACAGGTTGCTCTCCCAGAAGACCTGGGTTCAATTCCCAGCACCCACATGGCAGCTCACAACTTTCTAAAACTCCAGTTCCAGGGGATGCAACACCCTCACATAGAAGTACATGCAAGTAAAACACCGACACACATAAAAAATAAAAAGGAATCGTTAAAAAAAGTGTGAAAGAGCACAAGGGAAGGGTTCATGGTGAACAGGATAGAAATACATTGTGCACATGTATGGAAATGTCATCCTGAAACCCACTATTCCGCATAATTGTTATATGCTAGTAAAAGACTGAGGAAGACACTCAACATTGACCTTGGACCTCAGCATTTACAAAAATCCTACTGAAAATTTCTACATGAATATATGGCTTTATCCCCAATAAGA